TGCATACATTGTTCCGTGTGCCGACAACGCAATGCCATTGTTCCAATAGGCAGCCAGAGAAGCAAAGCTATACCAAAGAAAAATCCAAACCACACTTAATATGCCACAATGAGCGATCTCCATAACCTCTCCAATATGTTTCAAGCAAGTCGTACAGCTTGCATGATTGGGTCCCTACCCGCTAGCCCTTGTTTCAGGATTAGCCAACGACATCTCAACACCAACAGGGCCTAAGGTCTCAGGTATCAAACCCACGCGGCCAGGACAAATCCCCCCCACTTATCTAAGACGTCGCGTAACAGACAAATTACGGAGTAGGAGAGTACTCCATATATAGATATCATCTACGTACTCCGTTACTCCGTGCTATCCTATTCTATCCTATCCGGCGCTACTCCCGAGCCCCTTACCTAGACTTGACACATCCCCGGGTCCACGGAGTATACGTCGCTCTGGTCTTGGACCGATGGCGTCTACTGTGAATCATGCCCAGCTTGGGCCAAGGGCTTTACAGTGCAGCACTTGCTTCCGATAGGTGGATGTGACCTGCCAAGTGAGTAGAAACCACCTTGGAACCGCTTTGCACTACAATCGACGTGCTGCTTTCGGGTCGTTCTTGCCTTTAGGGTTGTTTCCGCTGAAGTTTCACTTTGTCTTGTTTTGTTTTGTTGATATTCTTCTTCTTGTTCTTGTTACTTCTGTCTCTAGTCTCATTGTTTTCTTTTCTTCCCTTCTGCATTGTCTACATTGTCTACATTGTAGTATTCTCTTTTCTTTCTTTTCCATTCTTGGATGCAGGTATTCGAGTCTGGACTACTGCCTGCTGACTTTAATTTTGAGACATTGGCATTGTCTTCCCATTCATTCAGAACAAGCCTGCCCTTAACAGATCTGAGGGTCTGCTGAAGTGTCACTTTCTTTTTTCAAATTTTTTTTTTTTTCATCCTGTCTTGTCTTTCATCCTTGCGTTTCTTGTCCATTGCATTCTTTAATATCAAATACTCAGGCTGGCCCTGATTTAATCACTCTTTTTTTCGATTTTGATACCCCCAATTGGGGCATTGGGCAAGATGCAGGTCATTCTTTTTCTTGCTGTCTTCTTTTCGCTGAGCTTCAACGCTCTTTCTATGCCCGTGGCTCCTCCGAACCAACTTCAAGGCCGGTCCTTCAAGGTGGAGAGAGTCAAGCGCAGTGACTATGTTGCCAACGGACCCGCAGCACTACGCAAGGCGTACCGCAAGTTCGGGATTGATGCAACAACCCTCAATGGGGTGGACGTGAGCGACTTCCAGCCTTTCGAAACCAAGCATACCGTCTCTTTGAAAATTGCAAAGGAAGATGTCGCAGATTCTGAACAGACGGGTTCTGTGGATGCCACTTCTGTTGATGGAGACGTGGAATTTGTTTCGCCGGTCAATATTGGAGGCCAAACCCTCGATATGAATTTTGATAGTGGCTCTGCTGATATGTAAGCTTTTTTCCATTTTGCTCTTTTCTTTAGAGGATTTGCCTGGCTAGCAATATCTCTTATGGCTCAACTCACGAATGAACATGCCGAGCTAACCAATTGCCTTATAGGTGGGTGTTGAGCTCGAGACTTCCAAAGTCACTGCGAAACAACCGAACAGTATACGAACCGAGCAAATCCAGCACCTTTGAAGAACTCGCCAACAGCACATTCAAGATCCAGTACGGCGACTCGTCCTATGCCAATGGTGGAGTAGGCAAGGATGTTGTCTCGATTGGTGGTGTCAAAGTCGCCGGGCAATCATTCGGCCTTCCGACGGATATTTCGCAAACATTCGCCGATGACACCAAGTCCAACGGACTCGTCGGTCTTGGCTTTTCTTCTATCAACACTGTCACGCCAAAGCGACAGAATACGTTCTTCGACAACGTCGCCCCCAACCTCGACGAGCCAGTCTTCACCGTTCGATTGCTCAGCAACGGCGTCGGCGAGTATGAATTTGGAACCGTGGATCCGAAAAAGTACCAAGGTGTCTTGGCCAATGTTAGCGTGGATTCATCAAATGGATTCTGGCAGTTCGACTCGGCACAATACGCCATAGGGGAAGGCCCCTTGCACCCGATCACCAAGACACCCCAGGCCATCGCCGACACTGGCACCTCGCTCATGATGGTTAGCCCTGAGGTTGCGGAAGCGTATTATAAGCAAGTCGACGGTGGATTGTACGCGAAGAATGCCAACGGGTATATCTTCCCTTGCACTTCCAGCCTGCCCACCCTATCCGTTGCGGTTGGGAGCGGTTATTCGGTTACCATCCCTGGATCGTTCATGAATTGGTCCGAGGTTGGAACCAACACGACTACTGGTGAAACAGGTAAGTTTCCCTTTCTCGTTCAAGGTATAAGATCTGAGCTAACCTTCTTTTTTGGATAGTGTGCTATGGCGGTCTTCAGTCCAGCGGAAGCTCATCCATGGCAATCTATGGCGATGTGTTCTTGAAGGCACTGTTTGTGGTCTTTGATCAGCGAGGCCCTTCTCTGGGATTCGCTGCGCCTGCTTGAGCATAATACGCTAAGATCTATCAGCTCCTCCGAGTTGTGGGACGATGTACAGATTAGAGGAATCAGACGCATATTTTCACTTTTTCATGTGTTGACAGTGATGCAGAGGGATAAATTCCATTAAGTGCACAATAATAATACGAACTTGGAAATTTTGATTTCTTCATATTCTCATGGGTATGCGTTTAGTTTTATTTTCAGATATACCGAACACCTTCACATCCCTTACCGCACAGTAGCATTAGCCAAGCTCTTAACAGTACAAATACCACCAGAGGCAGCAACCAGCTTTCCAAGAGCAGGCTTGCCCTCCTGTCCATGGACAGAGGGGACAGCACTGCTATCAAAGGCAACCTCACGGTCCGCCGTGGTGGTGAAACCGGGCTGGAAAGTCTCCCAGACCTTCTTCTTGGGGTTGAGCTGCTTCTCAGGCTGGCCATCATTCCAGCCCTCGAAGCTAATACGCTCACCGGCAGGAGCATCAGCAGGTGGGTTAACAAGCTCGACAGGACCGGCGTGCGAGTCCTCGCCCTCTGCAACACGTGGGGACGCAGCGAGAACCATGGCGCAAGACTTGACGCCACGCATGGTCACGGGCTTCAGGTTGCACACTGCAACGATCTTGCGGCCCTGCATCTCCTCCAGCGGGATCAGTCCGTTCAGTCCGGAGCACACGGTACGCACGGTCTTTCCGGTCTCCTCGTCGAGGGAGGTGTTGTCGCTGCCGGGGGCATCACCGCAGTCGATCGTGGACACGTACAACGAGTCCGCGTTCGGGTGGTTGATCGCACGCAGGATGTGTCCGACACGCAGGTCAATCAGTGATGGGGCAGGGGGCGCAGCGGGGGCAGGAGCGGGCTTGGGAGCCTTCTCCTTCTTCTCCTTCTTCTCCTTCTTGTTGGTTTTCACGGGGGCGCCGTCGGCGCCGGCCTGTGTCTGGGCCTTGGCGGCTTGCTCGGCCTTGCCCTGGCCGATCACGAGGGGCTTGGACTCGTTGTTGGCGTCGGGGTTTTGGGCGTTCGCTTTCTCACGCTTCTTGCGTTCTTTCTCCTCCTTGGGGTCGACGGGCTTGGGCACGAACTTCACGTCGTTTAGGTCGATGGCGATCTTCTCCTCCTCGGGGATCTGGAGCGAGAATAGGCGGCCGTTCTGCACGAAGTCGACGTGACGCACGATGTGGTGGTAGCCCTTCTCTCCGGTGCGCTCTTCGGGGGTCCATTTCTCAACGACGGGGGCCAGGAGAGCGTAGATGGCAATGTCGGCGACCGAGGGCTTCGCGCCGAGGAGGGTGGTGCGGGTGGCGAGGTGGATGTTCAGCTGGTCGAGGATTCCAGTGGTGACATCCTTTTGGTCATTGGCAAGAGAATTCTTCAGGCCGGAGACAGTGTTGAGCCATTGCTTGATGTCAGCTTCCTCTGCCTCGTTGAAGGTGACCTGGGGGAAGATCTTGGCGGAGGCGTGGAGGTAGTCGGGCTCGGTCGAATCGGAAGAGATTACGGCGGGGTACGACCGGTAGAGAAGGGAGAGGAGAGAGGTCTCGGGGGCTGCTGCCGTGGCCATGGTGTATGTTCGTGGAGGGGTTGGGAGTGGAAGAAGAGAAAATCGAGGAGGGGCACGGATCTGTGTCAACGATTGGACCCGCGGGGCTGTCAGTCGGGCCCGCAATAAGGTCGACCTGAGAGAATTCAGCTTGACGGCGATCCCTTGTCTATGGGGATCTGGTGAGAATTAATTGCTTTATTTATTATTCGCAGTCAAAGCACTGACCTTTGGACATGTTTTTTTCTGCCCAGGTGGCCGTGCTGTGTTGGCTGACTCAGCCGATGTCAGGGCCCCAGGGCTACCCAGATGGTCAGACCACTAGAGGATTTGACCTTGATGTCTCATTGTTCACGTCAAAACCAAGGCCTATTTGATCATGAAATCCTAATATACGACTATTGACTACCGTTAAAAGACTACAACGTCAAATTTAGCCTCCAAGAAGAGGAAGACAAGCTCCTTTAACTAAACTATCCCCAACAGTGGATAGATGAGGTCTAATTGTAGCTATGTCCGGCAGTTTCTCCTATGCAATATCACCTTGCCTCATGCTGAACACATACCGGCTAGCTTTTGAAGGCAAAGGAATTGTTGCACCGCAGGTTCAATGCCTACATCTCCATTGACAAATCGAATTAAGAGGACAAGCAACTCGTTATCAGATCCCTATTGTCATGCATAACACCGACTAGGAAGTGTGCTTTGAAGCTGCAATTTTGATTTGAATATAAATAAATCCTTTCTTATAGGAATTCGGAATTCGGAGCTGCTGGCCAGAGGGAGTTTAGCTCCCAGTTCCACAATAATAGGTAATTTCTAGCTAACATGAAACTCTGTTTTACTTGTTCCATCACGTCCCATCAACCACGATGTATGAATAATCAAGGAAGCAAAGAAGCAAAGAAGCAATTGATCTCCAACTCTCCAACTTATACCGGGCGAGTCTTCCATTTAACACGAATACCTGCGGCCAAAATCTGCTGCCGTGCTGTTCTGCCTTTGCTCATTCCAATATCCGGGTTGGCACCAGCTTTAGCAAGCATCTTAATAACTTCCTTATTGCCTACATCGATCGCTTTCAAAAGAGCTGTTTGCCCTGTGCTGGTTTGCTTGTTGACATCGACTCGCTTCGATTCTAGCAAATGTTCCACTGTCAATTGCTGATTAAGATCAACAGCAAGCAATAATGGAAAAGCATCCGCCGGACCAAGATTTGGATCAAGCCTATCCTGTGCTAGGAGGAGACGAGTCATATAATACTGGTTGATGGCGATACAGTCCCAAAGCGGTGTTCGCCCCTCACCATCTTGAGAATTGATATCGACCTCGTCTGGCATGCGAACAAATTTCTTGGCGCATCTCAGAGCGGCCGATCTGTTGTATCTACAAGTCGCAGCAGCGTGCAATGGAGTCGAGCCGTTATTGTCGCGCTCATCAATCTTGACTTTTGGGTCCGCAAGAAGAATATCAAGCAGAATGTCCTGATAACTTGTGTTGAGCACACTTGGTTCGAATAACATGTGCAAGGGGGTGCAGCCGCGCGAATCTTTTGCGTTGGGGTCTGCGCCCGCTTCGAGCAATGCCTGCACGATTTTGGGTTGGTTATACAGGCATGCTAAATGAAGCGTCGAAGCCATTTCGGTTGGGGACCCCACAGAATTCGGGTCAGCCCCATGGGCAAGTAATAGCTTGACATGCCGATACGCCCTTTCTCCTCTTTCTTGTGTCTCATGTTCAACATCCAGCTCATGCCCGTGTAAAGGTTTCGATGATTTGATTGTAGAGCATATCCAGGAAGAGCCGTCTTCAAAACGATAGTTGGGGTCAGCCCCCCACTTCAAACAGTGTTCGGTGGATCTCCAGTTATCACTTTCATATATTTGATCGTGATTGTCACGTCCTATGCAATTCAGGGTTCTTTGGATGAGTGTCCTTAATGCGCATCCGAGCAAGCCATCTTTAGAAACTAAGAACTGTATCAACTTGACATTTTCGTTGTTCACCATGTAATACAATGAGATTGCATTCCATGGCGCTGTCTCTGGAACATTTGATAGTAGTTCGATTGCCTTTATGAATGATTCTTTCTGATTCCTTTGCAGGCTTCGTTTAAATGCACGCAGGTCCTGCATACCTCGCCAGCAAAGCCGCCCGCTCAAGATGTGGTAGAGATCCCCATTTGCTTGGCAAAGATTGTAAAGCTCACTGTCTGATAGCTCACGCTCAATAAGCCACATCAGCTCGACGGGTAGGTCAAGGATTGATTTCGCCCCAAGTTGCGATCTCCAACTCCGCTCCAATAGCGGCGAGGCTAGATCAACTGTCTTTTCAATCGCTTTTTTCACTTGGTGCTTCTTGTGTGTCCATCTTCTAGGATAGCAGGTAAGGTTATTGTCCGATCGAGTGACAGATTTTGTGGGAGTAGACTCCGTGTCATAGTTTTGCGCAATAAATGTTATTAGAACTTTTTGGTCGGGATGTAAATAACCAGTCCACGATTTCTCTGTTTGAAAGAAATCTTCGAGTAGGTGGGCCAAGCGAACTGCTTCTTTGGGCAATTTTGGAAGAGTCGTGATATTTGATTTTGTCATGCTGTCAGATAGTATTTCTGTGCTTTCCAAAGGCTGTAAAAATTAAAGGGAGAGGAAAGGGGGAGGGACTGGATACGAATTTTTCCGAATCCTACAAAGAGGCTGTGGTCATAATGAGGTAGTGATGAAGTGAATACCAGGGAAATAAATTTGAGAAATTAGACCTAAACGATTCTAGCAACTATCTAGCACCCAGCACCCAGCACCCAGCACTCCAAATCCCAAATCAATATAGCAGTGAAAATGAGGTACAAGTTTGGCTAATATCTTCAGGTCTTCCTTTTTCTTTTTCTGCTTGTACGCATTAGCTGCTCAGGGTTGATACCCGCCTGGGAGATCGTTTCCCGTGCAGTCAGACCCGTGCTATCTCGAATGTCCAGCTCAGCACCAGCTTTGATAAGCAGCTTAATTATAGCCTTTGATGTTGGTAGTGTCAAAGCGAGACGCCCATTGCTGTCTTTCCGGTTTGGGTTGGTTGCCTTTGTGCTTAGTAAACTCTTCACCATCGATGTCATCCGATTCGAAACGGCGAAAAACAAGGGCAAACGCATGGTATTAAGATTCGGGTCGATGTGACTCTGCGACAGCAATAGGTTGGCAACTTCTATGTTCCGGCTCTCCACCGAATGATATAATACCGTCTTCCCGTGAATGTCTTGGGAATTGATATCAACATTGGGACTTTTAAGCACACTTTTCACAACCCAAGCAGAGACCTTACTGTGAACGCCGACAGCAATGCTCAAGGGTGTACGGCCATTCTCGTCACGCGGGTCGAGATCAATGCCTGGAGCCCGAAGAAGGGCATTGATTGTGCTTTTGCAGGGAGCGCGGTAGGAGCCAAAATGGGTTCGCTCAACGGCCATGTGAAGAGGCGTTTTTCCTTGGGGCCCGATTGTGTTTGCATTGGCGCCATATTTGATCAATTCTGTCACAATATGTGACTTTCCCATGGAATTGCACAGGGACACTGCCATATGAAGTGCCGATGTTTTGTCGGATATGTGGACATTTGGATCAGCCCCATATTCGAGCAAAAGGTGAACGTTATTGACATTCCTTTTTCGATGTGAAACACCGTAGGTCAAAACAGGAGTCACACGCCTCAAAATGTCAGCACAAAGAATACTGTCACCGCAAATAGCAATAAACAGTATTGGAATACGCCCAGGGTTCCATCTGTCACGGCTGATGTTATGACTGAAACAATTTGGATCAGCCCCTAGTTTGAGGACCTTTCCCACAGATAGATGTCTGCGTTTTGACCATTCCAGATTATCCGACAGAGTGTCCACGAGGAATTGACGATACATTTTTCCAATAAAGCCGTCCTTCAAAGCCATACACTCCAACATATGGATATTGTCGGTGTCTATCATAGGAAACAATTTCCACGTGGGCTCATTACCCATACTTTCAGGAATCTTCGAGAGTTCTTGAACTGCTTTTTCGTAAACCGTCAGTCGACGGTGATTCAAGCTCCATTCCAGTGCCTCGAGAGCCCTGTCCAGTGGTCGCCAGAGCTCAAAGCCTACCACGCTGGAGAGACGGCGATTCAATTGACAGAGTATCACGAGAGAGTTGATCGGTAATAGAGCTGCAATGAGGTGCAACAACTCGTTAGGCAGATCAAGTATTGATGTTGTGAAGGCTTGTTTCTTCCAATCGTGAAAAGCATCTGTCATGAAGATTCGCTTGGCGTCTACAAGAAAAACTTTCGCTGCCTTTCGTGCTCGTCCTTTACAGGTCAACCATGTCTTCGGGAAAGGGAATTGGGTCGACGCGAGGTCTCGAGGGATGGGAATAGACACGCCAGAGCTGCTGGTACTGATCTCTCCTGGCTCCGGGTAATTCACGACGATGAAATAAATCAGGTCCACCTCGTCGGGCGTGAACCTGAGGGACCACTGAGGGCTTGCATGGAGGTATCCAAGGAGTTTGCATGCGGTTTGTATTGTTGGGATTGTCCTGGGCTCCAATGGAGCAGGATTGGACAACGGCATATTGTGAAAACCCAAGGTGGATGTGGTGGACGAATAGGTATTGCTGGCAGATATCACAATCATTCATATTTGAAGACTATAGAGCTGATCATTATGCAATAATCTATCTTTACCTTGGTATGATAGCTTGTGGCATGGGTGGTTTTTATGGACTACCATAGTCGCTTTGAACTTATATACAAAATAACGTTTTATCCAGGTAATCGAAATCGAGTGCCATACATTAAATATATATGTTTGGTTTATTTACAAATTCAGGCCCTAAAACAGCTCCTAGTATAGCTCTGCTTCTCTACCCCAATTTCCTCGCTTCAACTAACCCTTTATGTCTATAAAGCGCACGAATTAACTACTTTCGTAGAGCCACTTTCTAAGAGGTTAGGATCGATCAGTGTGATATTTTAATTGGTTGAAATCACGTAAAGGACACGTGACTAGCTGACGGAGCATTTGATTAGTTGAAATAGATAAAAACCACGTGATTGATTCTCGTTATAATGATTTTTGTACGGAGTATGGTGGATCAATTGAAGCATCCGATAAGGAATACTGATGGTCATATCCAGTATCTTTATAAATAGGTTTTACTATAGTGATCTTTTATGCATATATATCTTGAGGCTTGGATCTCTAAATGTAACCCTCATCAGCCTTCGAAGTGCACAGGTGCACACGGGCTTATCCTAAAATATACTAGCGTATTGAATATCTCTTCTCTGATTGGCCAGTTTACTGACACTAAAATGAGTCATAATGAGTCTTGGGACAATAATCCATCCACAACCAATTACATGATGCTTACTGTGGGCCCATGTGGTGCTGCGGTTCATCCCTTGTTCTTCCGATTCTTTTATATGGCCTGGCCATGTCCTTCAATTTCTTCCTCAGGACACGACTCCTACAGAGTCGACCCCTATCTACAGTTACCCTAGGGTCCCCTTTCATCCTCTTGACATAAAGCGTCACGGGTCTGCAAAGGCCCGTCTAAGAAATCCAGCGATGTCCGCCTGCAGTTGTTCGAGCGCCGCGGCAGCGATCCAGATCTCCATTCACCGGTTCCAACCCGCCCAGCACCGGCACGCAGGAACGCCTTCAAGGGCCTGCTGAATATTCGCCATGGGCGAGTCTTCATCCGTACAGTGATAACGACCTCTTCTCATCGCTGGCGCCGCCGTTGGAAGGCTTTCCCTCGGCTGTGCCAGTCTGTCAATCCTTTGATACCCTCACGCATGAGTCGGCACTCTGGGCAGAACCCGATCTGTCCTTTGCTGATACCGACTGGAATTTCGTATCTGTTAATCATTCGACGCCGTACCCTCCTGGCTATGATGGTGGCGATGTCCCCATCATGGACCTCGGGTATGGGTCTGTCTCTGCTTTGAACTCTCTTTCGGATTCCGGATCCATCGAGTACCAACACTATGTTTCTGCATCTCTTGATCCTAGCGCCTCTAATTCGCCAGGTATGATCATATTCTCCAATTAAGTGAAGGGGTCTTGTTTCTAACGTTCAATAGATGGCCACTCGCATCAGTCACCTATCTCTCCATTCCCTGCTCCCGTCTCCACTTCTCTATCCAGCCCTTCCACCTCCCAAGGTGATGATAATTCAAGCCGTGTTGATTCGTCCCGAGTGGAAAAGCGCAAACTCAACACCCTCGCGGCGCGGAGATGTCGGCAGAGACGCGTGGATCGGATGAAGGAACTTGAAGCTGAGTTGGAGAAGGTCCGGAAGGAAAGAGATGATTGGAGACTTCGGTGTTCGAAGCTTGAAGGCGAAACGGATGCTTTGAAGGGTCTTCTCACCCGCAAGAGCAAGGATACATAGTTGCATACTCGAGAATTGGAGCTGGTCTCTGAAGTAACGAATTCGATTGGTTTTTGATCCGCGTCTACTAGTTTCTCCTTAGAATCCTGCCTAAGAAGACCTATTATTTGTATATCGTTGGGTGGAGATATGCGCAGCGCAAGGGTTGTCCCTCCACATTGGGCACCCCCGCAGGCAGAGTGAACCTCATCCTGGGTCATGTATTGACGTCAGTTGCCAATGTCCCAGCAAGTATATGATAGGTAGGGGATTTGTCATTGTTCTCCCCGGTGGTTCAGATGAATGACACCTGGTGACCATTTTCACTTCGCGGGGTCTCATCGAGAGGGGTTCTCCCTAGTCTAAACAAACAGGGTATGCCCACCCGATGGCACCACTCGCATATATTGAATTAGGATGTTTCTTCGTGCTTGTGTAACATTTTAATCTCTCAATAAATTACATCATCTCACTATATTTCCAATAGCAGACTCCCATTCTTCGGTCCGTTATACAACACTCCAATAGACTTACCTGTTGACCATCCATCATGAGAGCTGTACGCTTCCATGGACGAGGTGATATCCGCCTCGATGAGATTGAGGAGCCGGTTTGTGGCAATGGCCAGGTCAAGGCAAGCTTAGCATTGCTGCTTATAGCATTCGCAGCGTTACCTGCGAGGCTGAGTCTCTAACAACGAACCTTGATATTAACAGATTCGACCTGCCTTTGTCGGAATATGTGGCAGCGGTAATTAACATGCTCGAAACTCATCGTTGGCTAGTCGTCTCTAATCCAATCCAGATATCCATGAGTATCTTGCTGGCCCAACGATCGTCCCTGTCACCCCACATCCAATAACCGAGGAGAAGTTGCCAACCACCCTGGGCCATGAGTTCAGTGGTACAGTTGAAGAGGTCGGCTCAGGCGTTACGGGGTTCAAGGTTGGAGATCGGGTTGTAGTCAAGCCTAACCTCTTCGACGCTACGTGTTCGAACTGTTCAATGGGCAGGTTCAACTGCTGTGAGAAAGTGGGATTCATCGGGTTCAGCAGTAAGCCATACTAAGGTCGGCAGTCATGTCTCGATATTGACTTCCACGAGGTCAGGCGGGTGGTCTATCGGATCACATAGTCGTGGATAGCAGACACGCAATTTCGCTACCTGGTTCCATTCCCCTCGACGTCGGTGGTAAGAACAGTCCTCTCCATTTCCAGTTGTGTTCGACTTGTTTCAGCTCTAACAACAGGGTGGCGATACAGCCCTGGTGGAACCTCTAGCCGTCGCATGGCACGCCGTAAGCGGCAGTCCTCTGCAGACAAATGACTCGGTACTTGTGGTCGGGGCGGGACCAATTGGTTTGGCTATTATCCAGGTACTAAAAGCCAAAGGGATTAACTCGATCATTGCTGTGGAGGTGTCTGAGCGACGACGAGAATTTGCACTGGCCCTGGGCGCCACTGAGGTCCTTAATCCTGTTGACGTAGATGCGGTTACGCAGATACGTGCTTTGACAGGGAATGTGGGTGCAGCTGTTGCATTCGAGTGCTCTGGAGTCCAAGCTGGCATCGATACTGCGATATCTGGTCTTCGGGTGCGTGGGACAACGGTCGTCGTTTCCTTGTGGGAACACAAGCCTACTATTGATGCTTTTGCTATTGTCTTCCACGAGAAGCATGTCGCAGGGGCTGCTCTCTATGATGATGGGGACTTTGAGGCTGTGATTGATGCAATTTCTTCCGGTATGCTCGACTTCTACTTACTTTTTATCTTCGCTTCCTACTTAGGTATGTACCCTCTGCTGACCTCTTGCTTCTTTGTTATAGGTAGTATTCAGCCTCACCCAATGATTACCAGTAAGATCCGAATGGAGGATGTGGATGAGAGGGGGTTTAAAGCTCTCATCGAGCAGAGAGATAAGCATGTGAAGATCCTGGTCGACATTTCTGCATGAGGCACCGAATTTGTGGTCTATTTATTGTCTATTTATTGTCTACATAGATAGAGTGTAGTGTACTTGATTGGGTATTTTAGGTTGTCCACGAAGAAATTCAAACCCCCAACCCGCGCTTGGCGAGGTCTAACTGTGAGATATTAAACTACGTAGTGACGATTTGGACTGTGAGATCAGATCTCAGAAATTACAGAAGCAAAGCCCAGAAAAGGCTTGACTAAGACATAACTTCTTGTGGGAATAATGATCCATCTTGATTTACTGTATAGCAATTTTCTTCTGCAGCGGATCCTGATCAAGCGGTCACTGACCGAGTCTGAGACTCTCGTCAGCCTTGCGCACCAGATTCTCCAGGCAATGCTTGCCCATGTTGCCGTTGGTCAATGGTGTGGAAATCCCTTTAGCCAACTTGGATGGATGGGATCAGTTGGAATGAGTGACTGTCATTTCGGGTAATTCACCTTGTCTTATTAAGTAGTACTAGCTATGCTTCTATCACCCACTTGTCAGTGACTAATTATTTATCATCATAAATCTAACCACGGGCCTTGAGTTTCTTAGGAACATTTTCCAGAGTAGCTTCAAGAAGAACTCTTTCTCCCAAAGGGTTGCAGGATCGTGTAGAGTATTGACTCTTCACTTCTTGTTTCAGGAGTCAGCATCGCACAGGTCTGGGGGTTAGTACATAACCCGAGGTCCTTCCACTCCGTTCGTTTCAGAGCAACCCCGGACCGATGGCAGACCCACCCGCGGAGACTCTCGACTTTCCACAAACACCCAAGAAACAAGTACCTTCTCGGTGGATTTTCAACCCTGACAAAAGAGCCTTTCTATTTTTGAAATGGGCGGCTACACACGGATGATAGAGAGGACAGGGGATGGCAACATGATGGTCTAGCCCGTACCTTTGAGTGAAGGGTGAGCTGATTTTCCTGAGCACTTAGTACAAATACAACATCCATCGTTAAATGTAGTCATTTACGATTTACTGTCACTTAGTGTAGTGTAACCCTAAGAATGCGATTCAGTCCAATTCTGTATATTCTGTATATTCTGTATATTCTGTATATTCTGTATATTCTGTATATTCTGTATATTCTGTATAGAACATCGCTATTATAATTCAATATAAGCAACAATCAGAAATGTACAAAATAAGTGCCATGATTGCACTATAATGCGCATATTGCGACTCAATTTGTGTTAGCGCCGGGTGGCGCCATTTCTTTTTTTTAATTTCTTTTTAGTTTTGTGTTTTGGTTTTCGATTTATTTCTGAAACTCCCGTTTATTTTGTTTCCTTTTTGTTTCCTTTTAGTTTCATTTTTTATGTTCCACAAAACGTCGATGCAGCTGCTTTCATGTCTGATGGAGTTATTATACATTCTTATGGTTACTTTGCAGCCAGTAATACGAACAACGTGGGGTGATCCTAGCGCTACCCTTGGCTAACTTTGCGGGAAAGATGCCCAGGCCTTGCTGGCAGTAGAGAGTGATTTATTTGACGCCTAAAGATCCGGGCAATGTCCCGAATCTTGACTCTGGAGTACAACGTACGGAGTATTCCACCTTTATTTGAGACATTGCCCAGATCTTTAGATGGGCTTGCGGGACAAGTTCCAGGCTAGTGCGAACTAACCTATCTCAGTGTCAAGTATCGATCCCCACTGTTTTGTTTTTGAGTTCTAATTTTATGGCATTTACTGCAAGGGTACTCCGTAAAGAAAATTTAGTCGCCATGCCACGCATTAGGCAGGAAGATCTTAGGGGTTTTAGCCATTCGTTATTCGACACTAAGGCATCACGTCAGTTTTCACATCTGATTTATCTAATATCGTCGTTTTCTGGGAGAAATCACGCCTCAGCCGTGAGCTGAGACATGGCACCGCCCATGTCCGATATAATTCATTGGCCCATTCTACTGCATTGGATCCATAGGGATGGGTTGGAGAATTTTTAGATCCCACTGTTTAGGTATATAACACCTTTTTCACTTGGATTACGCTTTGACAACTCCATTTTTAGTTCTAATTCCCTTTGTTACCCAATATTCCATTGTCTTCTCTCTCATCCCTCTATTTGATATCGAATACTCAGTACTACAAGTGCTCTTCTGGCCACTTTCTTTTCTACTGTGAAACTCTGTCTACACTATACCCTCGGGAATCCTCGCCTCAGAAAAAGTCAACGTTATGGGTACACCACTTACAGAAACGGTTATTATTACTGGTGGAAATGGGTTGTTGGGTTCAGAGATCGCTATCGAGATCGCGAAGAAGCAACCTTTCGTCCATCTATTATTGACGGCAAGGGATATAAGGACCGACGATGTCCGCCAACTGATGGGGAAGATCCGCTTGATCGGCCCCAGATCGATCGAGGTTCTGGCTCTTGATCTGACCGATCTGAAATCCGTCGCATCTTTCGCCAAAACCACTGTCGATCGTGTTCGCCTCAGAGACATTCCACCTGTGACCAGTCTGATTCACTCTGCTGTTGCTACATCTTACGTTATTGATGATCTCACATCAGATGGCCACGATCCTGTGTATCAGACAAATTGTTTATCTCCATTTTTATTGACCATTGGGCTGCTCGAGGCTTTCCGGGCTGGGGATGGTACACCCAAAGGTGGAGCTAAAGTGATCAACATCGGCTGTTCTGCGATATCTTGTGGGAGATTGGATTACTTCGACCGCGACCATGGAAGAAATGGAAGGCTACCAGGAACTGCGCTGAGCGCAAAGGAAGAGAATATTCGTTTGGGGAGCAGCAAGCTAATGGCGAGTGTCGCATTATATGCATTGAGGCGGAGCTTGGTCTGGGTAAGTTGACAATTCCGAGTCGTTTCCCGATTTCCAGCCGCCTTTCTTTTTACTAATACAATCTAATTTTAGACCGGCAATATATCGCTTGATATCTTCACCTTGGATCCAGGAGGTATGACTGGCCAGAGTACTCTGCGGACCGGGGCGCCTATGTCGGTCAGAGTCGCACATCAGACTCGGTCCGGGCTTCGGCCATTCCTGTGCATGGTATCCCGAAGCTCCATGAATAAGGCGAGTGTTCCGGCCAAGGCGATTGCCAGAGTTGCATTCCACATCGACGCGGTGGAGAACTGGCAAAAGGAACGCTACTTTATTCTCGATAGCGACTATGAAGCCGCATCCGTCTTGCCGAGCTTGCGTGATGGGGAAAAAGTGAACACACTATTAATGCAGATGATGCAAATGATTGAAGTGGAAACAAAGGAGATGGATTCTCCTGCTCCTCTTCGACCTCAATTGAGCATGATCTCGCCTCCTACGCTTTCACTGTGAAGGGAAAAAATTATCTAAATATTTTAGCATTGGGGGAATTGCGTTTATTTATGAAATTTAGCGAAGCTAATTGGCAACATCAAAAGCATTCAATTTTGTATTCAATCTGAACTTATAATAGTACTGTACCTATCAAAGTACATAAGAAACCACTGCAAGCGGATGGCCGGATTTGGTGACCACAACAGCCTTGGAGTGTAAGACCAATTAGATCACATCAACTCTTCCAAGGTTCTTTGGCTTCTTTCGCTTTGCTTCTTTTTTTTTTGCTATTTCAATCTTCTCATAAGATTTGAAATTCCTCCATTTGAGCCTTCTACGTTTGGCCTTTTTTTTTGAAAAAAAAATCGGGGTTGTCACTAGGGGTCTCCGGCCGTTACATCAGTTCTTGGCCCCCGACATAAGCGCCTCGACGGCCTGTGACAGCGCCCGCAGTGATGAACCGACACGTCCTCGAAAAGGGCCACTCTGCCTATCCCAGGGGTTCTGCGTTTTCAATTTCACCGAATAGGTAAGCCGATCACCCAGTCCGAGCCAAGCTCGCTTCTCATTGTCCGAGCTCGGAGCCCTGTCGTCATCCCAGATCATGAAGCTTGAAATCGAGACTGACTAGTATACCTTCGCCCACAGGTTCCAGCCTCGCTCGCAACCTGCTCTTCGGAGACGCCGGCAGCTCTTCCAGCGCCTCTGCCTCCTTGGCGGTGTGTCGCTAGTGCTGTTCCTCTTGATCTTCCCATCTTGGCGCGCCGCCGTCCTTCCCACCATCTCGCTCGGCCTTCTCTCTTACCCCGGAGATCTACACCTCCAGACGGTCCGATATTATGATTTATCTGAAGTACAAGGGACGGAGAAGGGCTGGGAACGCGGAGAGCGTGTCCTGATGTGCACCCCGCTCCGAGACGCCTCGTCGCATCTCCCGATGTTTTTCTCGCACCTTCGAAACCTCACATACCCGCACCACCTAATTGATTTGGCTTTTCTGGTATCGGATTCTCAGGATGATACCCTAGGAATGCTGTCGCGCATGTTGGAGGATATTCAAAATGACCCGGATTCAAAAATGCCCTTTGGAGAGATCTCCGTGATCCAGAAGGATTTCGGCCAGAAAGTCCAACAGGATGTGGAAAGTCGACATGGATTCGAGGCGCAGGCGAACCGACGCAAGTTGATGGCGCAGGCCAGGAATTGGTTGCTGAGCGCAACACTTCGCCCAACCCATAGCTGGGTCTACTGGAGAGATGCGGACGTGGAGACTGCTCCGTTCACAATCATTGAGGATCTAATGCGGCATAACAAGGATGTCACAGTTCCAAGTGAGTGGTGGCTATTGTCCGAGTGTTTCAGATATATGCTAACTGGCTTTGTTTGTAGATGTCTGGCGCCCGCTTCCAGATTGGCTTGGCGGAGAGCAGCCTTACGATCTGAACTCCTGGCAAGAATCCGAGACTGCATTGGCGCTTGCAGATACCTTGGATGAGGACGCTGTTATCGTGGAAGGATATGCGGAGTACGCTACATGGAGACCTCACCTTGCCTACCTCCGCGATCCCTACGGCGATCCAGACATGGAGATGGAGCTGGACGGGATCGGAGGTGTCAGTATCCTGGCCAAAGCTCGGGTATTCCGTGCTGGTGTGCACTTCCCAGCCTTCAGTTTCGAGAAGCATGCCGAGACAGAAGGGTTTGGCAAGGTAAGACAGTAATCAACGAGGCGGTAGTCACAATTGCTAATATTTCCTAGATGGCTAAACGGATGAAGTTCTCAGTGATCGGACTACCACACTACACCATTTGGCATCTATACGAGCCTAGTGTCGACGACCTCCGGCATATGGAAGAAATGGAGGTGGAGCGACTGGCTCGCGAAAAAGAAGAACAAGAGCGAGCCGAGCAAAAGGATAGCACCCAGTCCAAGCCTCTAGATACCGATCAAACTGTGGACGGTGAAGAAGTGCAAGGCTCCGCCGAAGGCCCGGTTGGCCAGCCCATGAAAGACACCATGGATTCTGCCCAGGGTCACTTGAAAGCCCAAGCTGAAACAGTCGACCAAGCCGAGAAAGTCGAAGTAGTCGAGAAAGCCAAACTATGATCCCCGACTGGTTTTCCCTCACCGCTTATTTGATCCAGCCGGCTGGATTTTCGCATTGCATTCTCACATGCGACTTGAACGTCTCATCTCCCTGTCTAGGAAGACTATTTGTCTATTTAGACTGGGGCATACTTATGCCCAAGCTCTACGAGTGTAGCAGCTCTGCTTTTCATTCTTGTTCGGTTCTTGCATATGTTTTTTTTATACTTTTGGGGGGGGGTTTCATCTTTTCACGGAGTCACAACGAAGTATAGCGGTTGGCGTGTCATGAAGAGCAATAATTTGGCCATTCAAACGCAAAACATGGACGATTTTGATTTCAATGTATTCTGCACAACAATAGTCGGTCGCTTATTCGGCCTCTGTCCTTGACAAGGTAGTTCTAATCAGACCTATTTAGCCCAAGATGATATAAAAGGCTTTATATTAAGACTTTTCTAAACGACCATTTAGATATTTTCTCATTTTTCTATTTTTCTGGGATTCTTCATCCGCTTACTAGTGTTGTAGCTAAAAGTACAGAAAGATTTAGCCGCAAAATGTAGAATATATAGGGTAAAAAAGATATAACCGGTGAGAAACAATTTTTTCATGCATACGATATAATATGCGGGTTTTGAATCGGCCTGATAATGTGACTGTAACATAAAGACCCTCACACCCTTCAGGGCTACCATATACAAAGTACATCGGATGAAGCCGAACACCTCTTAGGCGGTGGTCCGTGTGTCTCCACTTCGCGTCAACGCGTCCGAAGTCAATGCTTCATTTCCCGAATTCTTACTTTGATTCAAATTACATACTCTATACACATTGTAACCTACAATGTCTACTCAAGACTCGCGCGGTATTCTTTTCACACATACTCGCCCTCAGGAAGGGTTCCGGTTACTGGAACTTACCCCAGAGCTAGAAAAACTACTGACATCGAAAGATGCACCAGCGTAAGTCAACGCAATGAACAGGGCCCAAGCAGACCGGAAGCAACCCGTGCGCTGCTATTTTCATTATAAACCCCTCCCATTCCCAAGTGGTAGCCCTCGACTAACTTGCGACGCCCACCAGACTCGAACTCAAATCGCCCTCTACAGCCCTCGCACAAGCAGTAATCGATCCCACCGCCCACGACTACGTCAACCTATGTACACCAACACAAACCTACCGCATCCGCCAAGTCCAATCCTCAAACTCCCTGCATATTCTCCGCCCAAGCCACGGCGAAATCTCTCAAGCAGACATCAAAGTTGTTGAAGAAGAAGCCGGCGAAAGTGGCGCATTGAACCTTCCAGATGAAGCTGTAACAGCCATTGCGAAGTGTTCCTCAACGCTGGAACTGCACATACCGCCGGGAGGTTTTTCAGCCGTCCCTTTCCTGGAGAAGAGTCTGCGGCTTTATGACCGGCGCAGCGATGATGACGGGGACATAGCGATGGGCGGCTCTGCCGACTCCACGGGCCCTCTGGGATCCAACGAGATGCGCACAGCTAGAGAGAATTTGTGTCAGGATATCCCCGTGTCAACGGCGCAGTGTGAGCAAGGCTGGATGGAGCTTTGTGCGTTTGTAGATGGGGCTGAGGAGGTGGCGTGTTGGCGGCCCTCGGCGCGATCTCGGTTGGCTGTCTGGAAGCGGTTGGTTGAGGGTGCTGTTTTACAGGGCATTGATCTTGAGAAGCAGTTTCTCGTTGGAGAACTGTGGAAGTCCGTCTTAGATGATGATGAAGAGATGGAGCCACCGTTCCCACGTGCGTTGCTGGAGGCTGTTGTAAGGCACATCTGCATTGCAGATGAGCGGCCATCTTTGTCGGATGATATTAAATGTGAGTTAAAAATGGACGGTGGGATTCGTTGCAGATATCGGACTTGCTAACGACTTTGTGCTGTTTTCCAGGGGCGAGCTTTAATAAGGCTGAGTGTACACAATGGGTTGGCGAGACTTACTTGGCTGCCAATGCTCCGACCACTTCGTCTGCTATTGGAAGAAGTGAATACCTTCGCGCGTGGAAGGACTGTCTGCCTGAGACATGGAGAGGAGAGGCAGCGCTGTCAAAATTACCGGTAAGCCTTCCCCCCCCCTCCAAATGAGTTGTGGCACAATAGCTGATTTTGACTACAGAATGGCTGCTACAACAGTCCTGATCCTACGACTATCTGCTTCGTTGAACCCTCACAACGGCAGCTAACCAACAAAACTGCGTCTGCGCCCGCTACGGCCGCGAAGGCTAAGAATACTAGAAATTGGCACGAACTGCTCAAAGGCCGCCGTTGATTGCGAAAAGAACTAACGCACTTGCTGCGTAAAATGCCATGGCATCTAATCTATGATGCGCGCATATCTAGAAGCATCACGATCACATTTGCCGCCCAAACTCGCCTCAATCGCACTTCCGGAAAAAGGCGGGAAGAATCATGAGCAAAGAAAGAAACCAACCTCGGAAATAATGCTCTGACGAATGAATGATTAGCACCAAGTGTACTTTTCATTCAACCACCACTCTACATCCTTGCCCAATCCTTGCTCCTCGCCAGTCCAACGCAAACTAGCGATGCTCTCCTTCTCGCGGTGCACGAGCCCAACCTTTGGGTCCACCAAAGCCACAGCCTTCTGCAAAAGGGGAGTAGGGTTCCAGAATTCAACCTTGCTCATGTTCCACTCGTGCGCCTCTTGCTGTGCTCGCCGGAGGATAGCAGCCATAGCCTGGACAGTGATCTGCTCTTCTGCTGGAGACGTGGGTTCATCATACACCCACCGAAGAATGTAGAGGACATTATCCTCAGGCGTCTCGCCGAAATTTCGGTTCCAAGCGCAGTATACGCGAGCCTGGTCATCACCAGCGCCCTTGACTACAGGCGGGGAGCGTTCGGAAATCAAGTTCTCGGCATAAAACTCCTCTCGAGCCCAATGCCAGACAAA